GAGTAGAGAGAGGTCGAGGGAAAGTCACCGAGTTGAAAAATAGTATTTCGGGATAATTACGTAATTAAGAAATAAGTCCATTAGCTATGTGGTGGACCAAGCGTTGTAGCAAGTTTCCAGCTTCTATGGCAGCCCAGAGTTGGAGTTTGTGACAGCGGCATTCCGTCCGGAATCGAGGAGCACGACAGCGACTTGGAATGAGACAGGTTTGGGATGTGAGACTCGTCACGGGAGATAAACGCAATGTTCCCGATGAGACTGAGCAAGTCGTGGTCAGTCGTACGATGGTATGCACAGAGACTGCGTTGACTGCACGACAAGATCCAGCGGTTGAGCACGGCGGCGAGGACGAGGACGATGACACGGACGTAACTGGCGGGAGAGAGTAACGGTTAGATATTCTCACGGCTGTTCTCGTTCGGCGTTGAAAGGACGACACGACCTTGGCTCATAAGCAGCTCCCGCAGATTCTGCAGGTGGGATTTGCGGTCGAAAATCATAGAGAAAGCGCCGTCTGGGTTGTCATGAGCGGCGTGGACACTGCGCCATCGTCCTCTCTTACGTCCCATCACGACTCCGACAGCGACATCCTCGACCATGGCCTCTTATCACCCTCCCACCACGCTGTCCTGCCTACACATGACCATCAGGCGGCCCTCCAGCTCGAGCTCGCCTGTCTCGCGCAGTCTGACACTACCTTGGATGACCCCACTGCTCATATGACACTCCAACACTCTCGTGACCACATCTTTGGCGACATTGACCACGTTGGTGACCATGTCAAGGATGACCACATCACAATGGTCGAGGCCGTGGACCCAGCCGTCACCCAACAAGACATCCAGCCGCAGTCGCCTGAGTCTTCATTAGAACTGAAACGTGTCAAGGTGAGCTCCTCTCCCTCTTCCTATCACGTTCCTGCCATTTGGCTCTACCGGTCCTCGCTCCGCCGTCATATTCATAGCAGCAGAGCTGCTATGCCTGCAACGTGTTCAATTCCCCCAGAAAAAACCTTTTTCTTTTTGTTCAAACTGTCTACACGTCCCTCCTGTTCATTTGTTTCTTCTTTATTTGCATGACCTCATCCAGCGCCTGCTCTGACCGACGCTTATCACCTTTAAAGGTTTACGAACTTATTGGTTCTCGATGGATTGATCAAGGCACCGCGTACTGCGCTGGCCAGCTGGACGACGCCAACCAAGCGTACCTTGTCGCCCGTTCCGAGTTGGACTTTAATAAAATCATTCTCTCTACTGCCATCCGCTCCAATGATGTATATCAGCGGCAACAAGGTATTCACACTCCATTATGCGTTTTCATAGAGATTTAACCGCCCATAATGTTCTCTGGCACTCATTGGACCCATAGAGAGCCTGATAGTATGGACAGAACCCAATGGGGCAGACTACGCCTTGAGCTTCCAGGACGCGGAAGGGTGCGCAGAGGTATGGAACTTCATCATAGAGGTCCAACGTCACTTGAATTCCGGAGGTCAGCATCGTTTCGCCCTTAGCCCACGCCTCGTTCTGTTCTGTTCTATCTGAGCAATGCATATCTCATCTGAATCTCACCCAGAAGACCAGGGCATTGGCTCATCGTCTCCAAGTGGCGAACACTCTGCAACCACTGTCAACATCATTCGAACGGGTCATCTGCCTACTCCTCAGCTCGGCAACATACAAGATATCGAAGGCGCGATCAAGACTCTTTCGAGGGGTCAGGCAGTCAAGGAAAAGATATGCGAGTACATACAGCGCGAGGTGAGCATTGTTTAGCGGTCTCACGTATCCGTCGCTTTGGGACCACTATGTTGACAAATATGACAGCACTACATCAAGGCTCTTATCGATGTCCTGAACATGGCAGAGGACCTCGAGAGCCTGGACAATCTCCATGCCCTATGTAGTCTTATGCAAACCATCCGTAAGTGCCAAGGCTCTCTTTCGTTAGCGTTCCCAACATTATTGTAGTGATGATGAACGACCATGGGATTTACGAGCATATTCTCGAGGACGACATTTTCTTTGGAGTGGTTGGGATGCTCGAGTGTACGCCGTGCTGCCATACTACTTGTTGTGATTATTGACATGGTGACATAGATGATCCAGAGTTTCCCACACACAAGGCCAACTACCGTGAATTCCTTCACGTCAATACACACTTCCACCAGCCTGTTCCAATACGGGATGACCTTATTCGGAAGAAGGTTCACCATACCTACCGCCTCCAGTTCCTCAAGGATGTCGTACTTGCACGCGCGCTCGACGATTCGACGTTCAACGTTTTGAATTCCTGCATCATATTCAACCAAATCGACATTATCAATCATATTCAAAACGATTCCGGCTTCCTCCACGACATAGTCAGACTGTATGTAAGTGAGGAAGTGCTCGCTGGTCCTAGGATGGGCTCAGAAGATGAAGAGGACGAGGAAAGGGGATCGAAGGATCCAGGCAAGAGATCTCACGAGAAAATTCCAAATGGCCACGGCGTGCGGATGGCTACACCGTTTTCGTTCGGCCCTGCAGGCAACCTCAGTGAAAGCGACATGGCGTTTCGTCGCGAGGTCGTCTCACTCGTTCAGCAGCTTTGCGCAATGGGCAAGAACGTCCAGCTACCTGCGCGATTGGCGCTCTTTCGAACGCTGGTTGACCGAGGGATTTTGTTCGCCGTCCAGTGGGCATTTTCGTTACCTGAGAAGGAGGAGACATCGAAGAGCGTGGTCAGCGCTGCGGGCGAGATCATGGCTATCTTGCTTGAGCACGATCTGCATGGCGTTCGTGGACATGTGTGCAAACAGGCGGCTGCTCTTGAAAGGGAAAAGGCGACTGGTCGGTTAGGAGCTGAAAAGGCAGAAACACTTTTAAAACTGATGTGTCGAGTCATGGTCCAGAGTCGCGACGTGGCAGTACAGTGTCAGATTGGCGACGCGCTGAAAGCTCTGCTAGATGTTTCGCAGAACATTGGCGGCCCTGGTGCTACACCTGTGGGTGTTCCTTCTACAGTCACCAAATTACTATTGACACCCTGAGTTAGGCAGCAATCGGCGCAAAGATTTTGGCTCGCCCAAAAGATGATCCAGGAACCGAGAGGTTTCTAGACTACTTCTACAAGAATTGCCTAGAGGTACTATTCAAGCCATATGACGATATACCAGATTTCAGGAAGCAGACAGGTGCGTAGACACATCTCACACATGAGGGACGCCAACTGAAAGTGATTATTATAGATCCGGTTTCAAAACTTTCGCGAGAAAGGACTAATCTTTTCCTATACTTATCCGACTTACTTTGCAATTTCGCTCAGCAACATGCTTTTCGAAGCCATTTCTACATGCTTTCTTCGAATATATCCACTCGCATGGCTACACTACTTAGCGCTCGAGATAAGCACCTACGGCTAGGTTTGTCTTGGTCTTCATGGGGTCTTTCACCATTTGATGTCTTAGCTCTGTCTTGATTATAGCTGCATTCAGATTTTTCCGGATATGCCTCAAGATCAACAACAAAAACTTTCTCGCTCACCTTATAAAACTCGACGTTTTCAAGCCGATCCTGCAACTCACACTGCAGGAGTCACATCGTGATAGCTTATTGAGCGCATCGTGTCAAGAATTCTTTGAACACATGCGACGGGTAAAGTTGATTCCTCAGTGTATCACATCTATACTCACTCCACACTTGCAGGAGAACATCAAAGACCTCATTAGCCACTGTATGACAGTCCATCGAGATATCATACGTAAGCTCAGTGAAACACGATTGGGTGGGCCACGCTTCTCCGCGTTTGTGCGTCGCTGGGAAATCAATGTCGAACCTCTACCCAAAGAGGTCAAGAACGATCGGTGAGTCCAGAACGGGATGTGAGAACAGGCTTGCTAATATGTCATAGAAACTCTACAGAACCGCGTCGCTTAGACCGTAGCATTGACGCCGAAGAAGAAGAGTACTTCAACGGCGATGATGACGAAGGTGATGTGGCACCACCGTTCATCAGCTCGGCAGCCCTTGCAAGCCGCGCTGGTTCCCCGCTAAACGCGATCAAGCGTAGGCGACGCATCCCTATCGCTCCATCCAAATTGCCACGTCCACAAAGTCTTGTCCTCCCTCGTACCCCCCCTCTACCGTCTCTTCAGGATTATGGCGATGACGAGGAGGAAATCGGACCCCCGTCTCCTCCAGAAACATCCAACCCTATTACTTCACCGAGAGCTCTCTCCAAAGAAAACTCACCCACACCGTTTTCTCCTTCCTTGGATGTACCACCAAGCCCACGATTAGCGCATCGCCAGATATCTCGTCCTTCTTCAATCCCCCGACGACGCAACCATGAAGAAGATGACAGCACCCTAGAGTTACTTCTGCGCCCCAAAGGTAGCCCTTCCTCACCCTCGCTAAGCGAACCATCCACCAAGTCGCAGCTGAAATCCCGCTTACCCCCCATACGGTTGTCCGAGAAACGACGAAGAGAAAACGACGAGGACGAACCGCTCGAACGTCTCGCGAGCAAACCCAAGCGCGCCGATCTTGGCACCCAAAAAAGGGACGAACCGGTTGGTGGTCGAGCCGCCGCGATGAAATCGGGCGATGACCCACCCAAGCGGATGAAAGTGATGTTTCGCCCGTTGGGTAAGACCGTCTCGCAATCGGCGTCGCCCGTCCCTCCAGATCCTGGTGCGAAAGATGGAGATACGGGGTAAATGACAGGTTCTTCGATGGGCATGCCACAGAGAGTGAGTGGGGTGGATGGGATGTTCTGCAGGTACGCCATCGTATATGTACGTGTTCTTTCATCAACCTGGTGGAACACCGTTGGGCCGTCATGTACATAGTGGTATGAGTAGGATACAGGATATAGTACTAGCAGCTATGGAGCCCCATGGCGGCGTGACGGGAGGCTGGTGTACATATACTCCCGGAGACCGGAGAGCTGATGAAGGAAGCTTCAGAGGCAGAAACATACTGCGGTCCTTTTTTATCTGTTTTAAAAAAGTATATATACTGCCCCAGTGAGGCTCGAACTCACGACCTTCCGATGGTCAATTAACAGTCGGACGCTGTAACCAACTCAGCCATGGGGCATATGGGACTGGCGGTCCCAATATCATATTTACCATGGCTTCCATGTCATCGTCATGCTTCTGGACCCTCTACCATCAGAGTACAAATGTATCCTTCTGCTCGATGTGGTCCTCCCTCATCTCCCCTTCGTTTCTTCTTTCCTCGAGGTCTCAATTTCAGTGCCATCGCCAGCACTGGTGCCATGTCCCCCGTCATCCTCCTGCTCCGCAATCTCGTCTTTTTCCACTTCATTTCGATCCCATCCTCCATCCTGGAACTTCCTTTTCGGAATGACAGCCCAAAACGCCTTTTCCCAACTGCGAGTGTCAATCCATTTCAAGAGGATTTCAAAGACCTATTCACACGAACAGCGTCACATCAAGGACGAAGTTAGCGCAATCACAATAGCGCGGGAAGAGGAGAGAACGGAGGGTTGGATGGCATCTACCTCTCAGGCTCGGATATGTATTCCGAGCTAGCGGCCACCATATTTATGGACTGAAAAACGAACCTGGTTGACGGTGAGTACCTTGCGTGTGGAAAGTAAGATGTAACGGCCTATTGGGAGGCGGGCGTGGCGAATTTGTGAGCCAATGGCTTTGTTTAAGCATAAATTCTGTGGTTTCCCTCCAGTTGGACCGCCATGCATAATGAATACACAATGCTTTTACGCACTGACCTTGTAGCGATTGTGGTCACATAGTCCACCGATGATATAGGTTTCTCCCTCGTTGAGTTCGAGTAACTCCTCGGACGAATCGGCAGTTAGATAGACAATGTTCTCGCGTTTGGTTTGAACTGGCAGAGCTAAGCTGCCTGGCGGGTGGGCCTGTTCACTGCGTGATTCAGGGTGCTGTGAGGGTTCTGCCCACAGCCGGTCATATCCCTCCTCCCACCACTCGGTCCTTGTCCACCTCTTGTAGCCAGCATCATTTATGGCATCTAATCTTTGTTTGGTTCTGCCATTAAGCGAGGTGAAAAGTAACATCGAGAATGCATGCGCGGCATGTCTGTTTGCGCTGTATGTATACGCCAATTGAGAAGTAAGAGAATTGATTTCCTGTCCTTGGCATAGTCGTCGCACGGAAGAGAGACAAGAGCAAAGTGAAACACCCACCTTGTCTGACATCAACTCATCAAAACCAAGATCGACCACGATTCTCGCATTGAATATTACCGTCTCGCCATCAGCACTTGTTTTCCATCTTTTTCGAGAGGTGTTTTCGTCAAGTTCACCTCTTGCAATGGCCTGGGCTCGTTCACGGCGTTTTTGCTTCTTCGCCTCCTTTTCGCGTGCGCGACGTTCAAGCTTAAATTCGCGGAGCCTTGCGGCTTTTGCGGCACGTTTTTGTGCCTTCTTGGAAAGACCCTCAGGGTTTGAAGATTCCGCCTCGTGACCTTGTTCTGGCTGACTGGCAACATTGACTAGCGGATGTGTGTCCATGATGAAGACTTTGTGATCTGGCAAGCAGGAGAAGCCGGCGGTCCGGATTGGGCCGAGAAGTACTACTGGGTGTGTGTCTGCTCATTTTTCCGTGCTCAGGGCATTTTCCCGTGACCCCAGTATACCTTGCCGTCTTTCCTCATTCCTGTCCCAGCATTCCCGTCCGTTTGATTTGTCCAAATCAGTCACCAAAATCGTTGACCATGGCGACTAGAGTCATTCCTTCTCTCAAGGGACCCTACGAGGTTGTCAAGCCGTCTGCAAAACACACTGCGACAGTCATCTTCTTGCATGTGTGCTTCCTTCGTCGTCATTCTCTTTTCAATGTTTCTCATATCCATTTTTACCCAACAGGGTCTTGGTGATAGTGGCAGTGGTTGGCTTGCGATCGTAAAGATGATTAAAGACGAGTTACCCCACGTCAAATGGTTACTTCCCAATGCCCCGAGCCGCAGCATCACTGCCAACCGCGGCTTTGTGATGCCTGGCTGGTTCGATCTGCTTGCCTGGGATCTAGGGAACAAGCAAGAAGATCGTGATGGAATGCTCGACTCTGCCCGCACGATCGACAAGTATATCCAGGACGAGGTCAATGCTGGTATACCGTCCGAACGTATCGTCGTTGGTGGATTCAGCCAAGGCGGCACCATGGCACTTTTAGCAGGACTGACGGCTCGAGGGGAAGACGGACTATTCGGAGGAAAGTACGGTTGGAAGCTCGGTGGAGTGGCCGTGCTGAGCGGTTGGATGCCACTATCGGATGCGTTTCCAAAAGTTGCTCCTACTTTCTGCCAAACGCGGGGTAATTCTGACCAACCTTCTCAGATGGTTTCCCCCCACTTGGTTACGACACCAATACTCATGTCTCACGGCACTGCCGATACCGTTGTGCCCCACAGTTTGGGCCAGAGAACGAGCAGAATCCTCACGAACGATCTGGGTCTGCCTGCTCTTGAGGATTTGACACTTTCCCAGCGAATTCCGCCGAGTGGCTATTCGCCAGGGGAAAGCAAACTGGGTGCGCCAGGGTTAAGTTTCAGATCTTACAGATCGGCTGGGCACGAAGCATGCGAACAAACACTTGAGGACCTCAAACAATTCTTGATGCGTGTGCTTCTCCAGTGAACTGATCCCGAAATTCTGCTCCTGCTTCACGGCAGGAGGGCCAAATTACGGAATGAGTAATCTTGTTGTCGATAAGTGGGGATGTCAACGGTGGTGGGCTTGTTTTCTTTGGGTGCTTTCTTGTTGGTCATAATAGCCAGAGCATTTTTGAATGGCCCGGGTGATCGTCTAAATTTTACCCCAAATTACTATCCGGCTAGGTACCGCTATCTCCAGTACTTACCCTGTAAATGTAGACTTGATTTTTCTGGGAACCTTGTTTGGAACGCACTTTCGATGTGAAGGAATTCGAAGCAAGTTGAGTTGTTCAACAACAGCGTCATTGAAATACATGAAATCTCGGTGGTTGCGAACGAACGATCAATACAGGGTGTCTTATCAGGACCAGACACTGTCTGAGTATGTGTACGAGGTTGTACATCATATAAATTGGCCGGTATTTACCATACCACCACGACATGAGGTCGCTCAGTTAGTGTCCAGACCGCGCCAGCAACCCCAAATTTAAAGGACATCCTTGAGACTGGTCTGCGCGGAACCACGCTCGAGGGGTTTGGGTTGGGTTGGTGAAGGTTTCCATCCAATCTTAGTGGGGAGAGGATAAGCTCAGGGTAAGGAAAATGACCATCAAAAGAGTATGGATACGAACCATGTATATCACTTGGAACGTTGCCGGGATGGAACCATCTTTATTACCATGCAGTTCTGTCGTGAAGGGGTGAATGTATATACGGGGAGATGGGGATTCGACTTTACCTTGATAGATGGCAGAAGCTGCAGCCAAGGTGTCCCGGTGCAAGAAATGTCGCCTGATTAACAATCCACAAGTTCATGGAGATCTACAAACGGGACTAGACTGAATAAATACCTTCCTACGATGGCATTCCCCTCGCCCATATCTTTTAGATCCTCGATGAGCTCCCACATTGAAGGGTAACCAACGCGCACTTCATCAGTATCAACGGTGAGCAGTGTAAATCCGGCACGACCGAGAAGGTTTGACATGTCCTTGGTATCTAAGTAGGCAGGTCGTAACCATGGATTTGGGGCAGTAGAATTCTCAGACCTGTCATGGGTGATACGTGCGGTGATATCCCCCCTTCACGGTCGACTTCCGCAAGTTGAAGGGCTGATCTAAGTTCAAAGAGTGTGTCTCCTCCGAACATTGCACCTAGGAACAGGCCATCGGGTTTCAAAGTTTCTCTGATCTGTACAAGGGTACCTAAATCCAAACGAGAACGAAGACAGCGTCAAAGAGTGGTGGATGCACAACCTTAAAGACACACCTGGTAGATCATTGACCCAGTGGAGACTGAGGCAAGAAACGATTGCTTCTTGAGAGTTTCGCGGTAATATCCCAAGTAAATCCTCTTCGTCTCCTTGGACCCGCTCCAACTGGACTGAGGTTTCGAACGAGTGAATGCGTGAATAGAGAACGCACGACGACCCGCGGTACCTTCAAAATCATCGTCCGGGTCTCTGTTGAGCGTCTGTCCTGTGACAATGTTAAGCGCAAAACACAAAACTTTACCAGGACGACGAACCACTAGAATCTATCATAATAACCTTGCGGGTCTTGTCGGGTTCCAACAATTTGGAGAAGTGCCCAGACCCAGACCCAAGATCGACAATGGTATCGAACCTCCTTTTGATATCCTATTCAAGATCCATTTAGTTGGTCCATCCTTTTCGATGCAGGTTGTATAGACACATCACCAACAAGCGCTCCATCATCCTGTCTGCAACCTCGTCTCGGACGTACTCTACAGTTCTGCTCCGCTCTCCCCCATCTCTGCTGGCTGCGCGATCTTTTTGTGTTCGCTTCGCAGCGCGATCGAACACACGATACACTGAGGCTGTAGGCGCTGCGAATGGCGTTTTCGAGGCAAACGCACGGGCTAAATTACAGCGAGGTGCGACGCGTCGAGCAACGGGTAGGAGGGACATGTATCGTGGGAAGGTGTGACACGATACGCGTGACATAACGCACATGGAAAGGGGGTCATGTTTCTTGTGACCATCATGTCAGACAATGACGCCGCCAGTGATCAACGCCTGAAAGAATCGTCCGTCTCCCTTGCTGCGTCTTCAATGATCAATGCCTCAGATAGCATCTCCGAAGAATCATACAAGGCCAACTTGAAACGCATCCAGGAAGTCAAGGAGATGGTACGGAGGCTCGAGATGAACAACGAAGTGGCACACAAAAATTATCTCGTCGATCAGCTCGAAAAACGCGCAAATGATGGGCGCGAAGCAGAGTAAGTCATGGTCGATCAATCACTCTCTCCGCACGTTGGACTCACTTCGGCGGCGCACTCAGAATCATGTTGGCACGGTTAAGAAACCAACCTAGACTGTAGGTAGCATCTTATTGTCAGACTTGTCAGTCCCTCATATGTCGACAGTTCTGAAACGGCCCAGTTTACCAACAATGTTTCAAGCGCCAGGT